ACTTAGTTCGCTATAAACAAGGGCTCTGATATCAATCTGTCACACCCCGAAACCAGAATGGCGGAATCGTTCCGGGGTGGAGGACGTCATGTTTAGCATCACAACCAATGAATAATAGGAAACATAGCAACACAACCAATACAGTGGATACATATATAAGTAAAATGTTTACATCAGTTTGAAAACTTGTTTTAGGTACATCAAAAGTATGTAAAAATATAAAAACATGACTCTTATTGCTCCGGCTTCTCTAAATCTAAGGAGTACCTGTTTACTGATTTCCTGAGAATACAAACAGTTTAAAAGAACATCAGCATAAAGCTGGTGAGTTCATAAGCATTTAGTTTTGGTGGAAGAGGTTCTTTGATTCTTTTGAAAAGTGTTCCTCAAGAAAATCCCATATTTTCTTATGAAAAGTAGTGTTGAAAGAGTATCTATTAGTAAAAGATAAATCATCAGTTTTAGAAATGCCAGTGTTATCCTGGGAAAATCCCATATTTTCCCTAAAAACAAGTTATCCGTCCTAGAGGTAGAGATGTAAGTTTAGAAATCCCTTATTACTATCAGTGTATATATGAAGGTAGTTTTATTACTAAAAATAAAACAAATGAAGAGTAGAGTCCGTAAACCAAAGTTAGTTTATACTTATTTGCGGGTCGTATAACCATACTTGATATGACCTAAAGACCTTTATAACGTTCTTCAGGCGTTAAGCTAAATGACATTTGTTCACCCCAGACGTGCCCGCCTAACTGTAGCTAGCAGTTCAGGTGTGGGATTGTCAGTCCCGAATAGATCTATTCACAAATCTCACGCTCTCCCTCCAGGAGACTCTGGTTATACTAAGATAGGATTTAACCCTGTACACCTAAGGGTACAGTTTCGAAGTAGAGCCTCACAATTATGTATAATCTAGCTTATCAGCTAGAAACAGTATAAAACAATAAATATCCTTGAATAATTGTACTTTATACTCTTGAGAAAATATATAACATAAACTAAATCTGCCATAGTTCACATATATTCATCCATGAAATCTGATTTGGTAGAAACTGCCTAGAGGGTTATCCCAAACTATACCCATTATAGTTTATTAGAGTTGATATGGAAAATGTTTTGTAAAAAACCTTTCTGAAAACCATGAAGTAGATTGCCAAAATAAAAGTTTCCCTTATGCTCAACATATTACAAAAAGGGATAAAATATTCGAGTATGTTATTAAACGTGGAAATCGTTGGACTGTATTAATAAGTTTAAAAATTAATAAAATACTTTGAGTTTGGCTTGTATTTCCCCCCTGAAAACATTAAAAACACGGAAAATGTAGGGGTATGAATTCACCGTTTGTCGTGCACAAGCGTCGAATTAACGGACTGAAATGAAGACTCTCGAGTTGTAGTGTGGCACTTAATGGAATCCTAATAACAATTAAATACATAAATATATCTAAATTAGCGATTTCGTTAAATAAAGTGTTAGAGAAACACTTGCTTTCGGTTAAGGAATGTTACTGGAACCTACTTGAATCGAGAAAACGAGCTTTCACCACTTAGGAAGAGTTTGCGGCCGTGAACTGGGTTTACGGTCTTTGAAGATGGGCCGTAAACTCAAGAACAAGGGTGCTGATTTCGAAGAGAAATGTGTTCCAGATGCCTCGAAATAACTCTAAACGGTGTTTCTCGGTGTTTTCTCGAAGATTGAAGGCCTTCTAGGTGTTTACGGTTACGAGTTTTAGAGAGAGAAAGAGAGAGTTTCCAGTCAAAGGTGTTCAAATGAGGGTGGGGGTCTCATATTTATAGAGGTTTTGTGGTCGGTGGGTGGGGTCCACCCGACGCTGGCCGCAAACGAGTTTACGGCCGTGAACTCCAGTCAGGCCGTGAACATGATGTTTTTCGAGGATAATTCGAGTTTCGCGGGGTTTTGGTTCCGACTTGCATATATAAGTTTAATTATATAATACCAGATGATTTTCTAAATCAAAGGTTCGACGGAAGATTAATAAAATTGAAATTTTATTAACGAAAATTGCATAATGGAAACGGAAAAAGTTTCGTGTTGTCACATGCTTCGCTACATGATCAATGATAAATCATATCCATACGGATAACATTAAGTGGTTGGTTATGCAAAAAAGATAAATCCAGGTCAAGAAATTCTTCATCAGCTTTTGCATCTGACCCTTCATCTTGATCATGCTTTCTCTCATATGTTGTTCCCCTCAACTGTAGACTTCTCTTTTTTTTTGACATCATCATGAATGACAAGGACCAATGTAGCAATTTATTTGAGGAGGAGTCATGGAGACTTCAGATGTACCCGTTCCAGCAGCAGCAACTGTGAAGGTTGGAGAAGTTATTAGCATAACTGTAGCTGTTATAGGATAAGGAGCCTGAGAAAGTAACTTCTTAATGTCATCTGGGTGTGTTTGAAGGTGATCCACCTTGAGGTTGAGGGTTGTGACTGACGAATCCATCTTGCCGGATAGACTAGAAATTGCTTCAAAAATGGTGTTTAGAGTGACTGGTTGGGAAGCAACTTCAGCAATCAGCATCCTAAGAGGGTAGAGGCATGTCTGTACCAAGAGTCGGAGTTTGCTTAGGATGAGGAAGGGTATTTGTTCTGGGTTGGATTTAGGCGGAGAAGATGGAACAACCTTAGGTGGTGATGAAGAAGAGGAGGGAAAAATACATGTGTTTGTTGCTAATTTTCTTGTAGTTCACTACGTCGTCGGTAACTCTTCCTATATATGCTTAATTGGGATTTTGATTAAGTTTTTGGGGAAATTTTGAACTTAGATCCTTGAATTTCGAATTCTATGAATTGATATGAGTAATTGCATTGTGATCAAGCTTTAGATCATGTTGTATCTCTAATCCAAATTCAAGTCTCAAACCATGCTTCAATTTGAGTTTATTGAGTTTAGTTGACGTTGTGGAGCTTCTAATGAGATTCCATTGAGTTTTGAGTGCAATCAAGAACATTAAATTCACTAAAATCTCTTGATAATAACTTATTATCCTATACATGAACTTGTTTATATCATTTGGATGATAATAGAAAGTAGTCTAATAATCTTTTGGAGCTACATTGCTATTTGTAAGTTCAAGTTTTGTTTGAGTTGTTATTGTTGTAATGAAGCTCATATGTTCATGATTTCCTAAATTGATGTTTAATCATTGATTATAAATCATGTCTAAATGTTTATTTAAGTTTAAATATGCTTAAAATCACCATAAGACATTGTATAAACATTGAATGTGAGTTTGATAAATTATACCTCTTACAATGCTCATACACGGAGTTTTTGGAAGTTTTGAAGCATACTAAACCTTCATGAAATGATTTAGATCTTCTTTCTAGATGTAAGATTTGATGTTAATCCATTGCCAAATTATGTTAGAAGTATGTTAGTATAATAATCTAGGGCCTTTTGAAGAGTTTTGGAAATGATTGGAATGAGTTTGGACAATCCTTCTTGGCCTATATCAAAAATACATGTTTTTAGGCATCAAGCATGTCAAATCGGTCGAGTGGATATTCCTTCTTGGCTCTACTCGGTTGATTAGTTCACTGCATTGAGGTCAAAAGTGTCAAACTTGTTTTAGTGATAACCTTTGCATACATACTCTAAATCAGACTCTAAATCAGGTTTGGTTTTCGTCTATATTTTTTTTATGAACTCAAGCATATTTTTAGAACAATAAAGTTTCAGATTTGGAATTAAGGACTTAATAAGTGACTTAATGGACCACTAAAAGGGTATTTGACCATTGAAGGATGATTCAACCCATTGTAATGAGATGATGGGGTATGATGTTGTTGCAAGTATGTGTAATTTATATTCATATATGTATTTATATAATATATAATAAGCAATAATTCACAAAAAAAAAATAATAATAATATATGACATATACAAACCAAACATAAATACATAAACAAATAGAATTAAGTTACATTCTATTTGCATGAAAGATTTCAATTTTCTAGGTAGTGTTTAACACAAATATTGAAATATACTGGAACATTACGAAGAAATGAAAGAAAAATCATGTTTGTTTATTATAAAAGAATGAAAAGAAACATTATTTATGGAATCCTTGCAACATCATATCCCAGATCCCATGACAATGCGTAAAATCATTCTTCTAAGCTAATTAGATGGAATATGATTTATTCTTCTGAGCTAACTTTTACTATTTCATTGGAGAGATTTTGTTTTATTCATTTGTTGAAGACATAAATGGTACATTATAGTTAAAAGTTATTTTATTCATATAATCTTCAATTCAAAATTTTGATCAAATTGTTTTATTTTCCAAAAATAACTAAAAATATTTTTTACTATATTACTCAAATGTAAAATTTCATTGCATTTATTTTTTTTAATTGAAAATTACTTTTTTAACTATTTATAACATATAATTTAAACGATATAAAATATGTTTATATGGAATTTATTTAACGACATACTTTTATTTAATTAAACTTTATTTATAATTATATTTTTATCTATCTTTTTAATATAACTTAGTGTTCTATTATACATGACAAACAAAATGAATGAATGACTTATTTGATTCTTTTTAGACAACTGAATATGAGAACGGAATATAACGATCCATTTTAGACCTTGTTGATTCTATTACATTGTTAATTCCGTTCATTTATGATTCCATTCCATAATATTCTACTTTTGCTAAATCTTCAATGTAAACCAATATATGAACATGATGGTAATCCACTTCAAATTTCATACAAAAAAACAAAGTAAAGTGACACTGCATTTTTCATTATATAAAAAATAGATAAGTTACATATATAGGCTTAAAGCCACAACATACATGATACACCAACAAGAAATATGTAACAAAAGTGGTAACTTGACACTTTTACCCCTAACCATAACCATACTATAACTTTTATATATATTATATATATATATATATATATATATATATATATATATATATATATATATATATATATATATATTAACAATCTTACTACAAATAAATACTTCTAAAATACCAACTTAGACATCATATTCATACACACTACCCCTAAAAATGGAACTTTTGTCCATTACCTTGTAGCTAACTTCACGTTGTGAAAAACCAACATTTCCGTAATTGCCCTTACTATGTACTTAGCCAGAAAAGGGTATAACAGTAAATACACCACCATACCAAGCCAACAAACAAAATACCACGATTAGAATAGTTTAAGCCTCCACTGAGGCAGAGTCGTCAAGTTTTGAATCTGGAACAGGTGGGGGTGGGGCCCTGATCATGACACTCTGTATGAACGCAATCATCTAGACAAAAGGGTAAAATGGTCATTTAATAGATGGTCAATAAAATGTCAAAACTATCACATAAATCAATTAAGAAAAAATATATATTTCTTACCACAGCAAATGCAGCACACACAAGACTAAAACCAGGAAACTCAAATGGAGCATTGTCAGATAAGAATAAAGCTGTATAAAACCATAAAAATTCATTAGTTTTGGTTATAATTATTAAAAAAAAAATAATGTATGCTACTATGCTTAAAAAATTAATCACCTGTTAGAGGGCTGAAAATTAGTGGTGAAACAATACTGGCAAAAGAACATAGACCTGTAATGCACCCTTGTGCCTTTCCCTGAAAACAAAGTAAAACCATACTTAACAAAAGTAAATGACCATTTTACCCTTCTGTCTAGAAGTAAGACGTAATTAAAGAAAAACTTATAATCAAACATAATATATAGATGCTTAAGATTACCTGCTCAGTGGGACCTACTTGTTTGGACACAATGCTTCTCAACTGAAAAACATCAAAATCTTGATAAGATAACAATAAAAATCAAAAAATAAATAAATAAATAAATACAACAGTCACAAGGAACTCACACTTGGTCCTGCAAAAACAGCTAAAATCTGAAACATGGCTGCCACATAAACAACCTTTTTGATACAAAAAAATAAATAATAATAATTGTCATTAGTAAAACTGAAACATACACCCAAAAGTGTAATAAAAAAAAGAACTTGTTCATAATAGTTAAGCACAAGTACATACCCATGAAGACCAAGCTACACTGTAAAGGAAAATCTGCATTTAAACCCAAAGTTATATTAGGGATCAAGATTAGTCATGTGAATTGTGTGGAAATTAATATATAATTACAGGTCTACTTACATGTACACAGTTAAAGATGAGTCCAATTGAAAGAATTTTTTCTTCACTGATTACTCTAGCTAACAGGGGCATAAGAACCATCTGCAGGAGTTGAAAACAAGATTATACTTATAATCTTTGTATGTGAAAGTAGTCATGATTCATGAACCCTAATTATAAAATGCATACTTGAGATATGATCCCTGCGATACCATTGATGATCAACAAGTCAGCAAACTGGTCTTTATCCCAATGGAATTCGGCCTTCAAATAGAACTGCAGGATACAGAAAGGAATGCTTAATGGAAAGGCTTAAAGTAGAAGAACAGTTTGTTGCCATGGTGTATGAACTATGAAGTACCAATAGTGCAGAATAAAGGCCTAATTCACCAAGGCTACTGAAAAATGCCACGATTGCTGCTTGTGAAAATGTCCAGCTGAAAGTAACATTCAGAAAAGAATGAATTCAGTTTTTCCATTTTCGTCTCAAAGTTCACAAATGGTAGGTAAAAGTAGCATTCAAGAAAGAAAGAATTCAGTTTTTCCATTTTTGTCTCAAAGTTCATAAATGGTAGGTATATTCGTCTCAAAGTGCACAAATGGTAGGGCATTGCATGTGTGAAGAAGACTCTCGTATAGTACATATTAGATATCAATTTGAATTACTTTTTGAGGAGTATAAACAAATTTAGAACCAGTTCCTTGTAAAGTTTGGAAACCATTTTCCAAAATTGGGGAATTATAATTAGCGATTGTCTGGATAAGAGCAAAATTCACATACCTACTCCTCAACAACGCAATTGAATCGTGCAAAGAAGGAGTTGTACGGGAAGGGGGGCGGTTGTTCGTACATCCTTTTTCGAGAAGACAATCATTCACCGTCTCTTCTTTCAATGAAACGGCGATCACCGCCGCTTCCATACTAGATTCTGGAAGAAAAATTCTCATGTAAACTACAGAAGCCATTGCCACCGCCGCAGATACCTAAAACAAACAACCGATATATATATATATATATATATATATATATATATATATATATATATATATATACTATATAGCACAATTCATCGATAATTTTAATCACAACTGAAGTTATATCTATTTTAGAGTGTTATATTACTTGGAAAACGGAGGCTGCGGAGGGGAGGAAACGAGTGGAGAGATTGCCGAAAACGAACGAACATGATGATATGCCGGAGAGGATTCCGAACGCCGTCGCCCGCCGTGACAGTGCCACGTTATCAGCCTGAATATTTGCAAATTAAAAGTTTAAAAAGACGAATAAAAACTAAAAATCTCTATATATACTAATAAAAAAAATAGTTTTAATTCTTTTATTATGTGTCACTTTAATACATTTCCACATTAATATTATGTCATATGTGAATGAGATATATTAGTCAAATCACTATGAGATTAAGGTTTTAAATAATAGATTTTAACTTTTTTATAAAAATATTTATTGTTTAATTATATGTTAAATTTGAAGTTATAACTAACTTTAAAATTTTGGTATATCTTTTCAATAATAAATTATTTAAATTTATTTAGTTAAAATAATTGATTAATAATTATGAATTTTTGCTATGAAAATTGAATTAATTTTATAACCGTGGTTTCCACGGGTTATAAACTAGTAACAATATTTTTTTTATGATTAACTTGATTTTGAACATAAAATAAATGAAAAATATAATGTCCAACTATTTAAGTGACATTTAGATTTATATCCTATACTTAATGTGGAATCAAATAAAATACAAAAATTGTAGTAAATTATTGTCAAAGACGAAAGGTTATTTTGTCTATTTTTCTAGCATATTTAATCACATTTTGTAAAAACTAAAATGGTGTTCTAATCTCCTTCAACTATATATATATATTATACTATCTGGTTTTATATAATTCATAAAGTTTTCGTAACAAAAAGATGTAAGATAATTTTGTAAAAAGCTAATAAATATAAATGAAATTTTGTAAATTCTCAATAAGTTAAGGTTATATTTAAAATATTTTTTTTAAATTAAAAAGATAACGTTAAGATTGATAAGGTACAAACTTAGATGCATAAAGTACAAGACGAGGATAGATGATTACCAGATAAGCATTTGCCAGACAAAGGACACCTCCTTCACAAATCATGGAAGTGAGGGTCTTGAGCGCATAGTATGCGTAGAAGAAATTCCTATCTCTGCTGTATGCCAAAATTACTGTTTTACCCATCAAATAATGAGTTAATGAATAACATATACACCATACTTTATACATTTGCACATTTATTTTTCTTAATTGTGATTCATTTCTCATTATTATCTATACCATACTATAAAAACAAACACCAATCATTTTGCATGGTATAATAACTTCTATTTCATTCCAACATTTTGGTCTCTAAATATAGTTGAATTTTTTCAATTTTGGTCTCAAAAAGGCTTTTCTATGATTTTTGTCTTTATTTGAATTTTTTTTAAACATTTTTTATCTCTGATTTAAGAAAAACGACTTCACTTTTTGGACCAAATTGGTTAGAATCATCTATGCTTAAGGACCAAAAATAATCATTTTATTTTGAACTAATACAACAATTGTCACAAAAACATCAAATAAAAACCAAAATTCTAGGAGAAAACTATTTACGACTAAAATTACAAAAACAAATATACTCAAAGACCAAAATGTAATTTACGCTATATTTGGTTTTACATATTCAACAAATAAAATAGATAAAACTGTCATCGTATTCACATATCTTTTAATTGCATATTCAAATAAAATGAGAAAATCCCAATAACATATGATGAGTTATATATCAAATAATCTGAGTAAGCTTAATGTATAATAAACATGATAATTGGTCATATCACAATATACATGGGTCCATCAGCCTTAATTATTTGTCAAAACTTTAGGATTGGGTGGTGATGAGTGATGACATAAAAAAGGAATAAAGAAGCATTTCAATTATTCTAAATGTGTAAAAACTTAAAAGTAGGGAGAAGACATCTCTTTTGATAAAAAAAAGAAAAAAAAAACAAAGAAGTGGGAATTGACCGATTAGACAAGGATTTACCAAAATATGATGCAACAAAAAAAGCAAAAAAAGATAAAATTGTAACTTTATTTTCGTACTTTTTTAATAAAAGTTTTTTTTAATTAATTATATAGTTTTTGTTTTATTTTACTTCAAGTGTATACTATAAAACATCTATAATGATTAATTGTGATATTTTTTCTATCGGTTTTTCCCAATTTTCTATTTATATTAAGTAGTTGTGTTAGTTAACTTGACCAAACTAACTCACATGATATAGTTAATATGAGTTGGTAAGTCTTCTTTTTCATATAAATAAATGTAAAGGATTATGAACATATGAAAAAAAATCTTTTTATTTTGCTCGCTTAGGGTATTATATGTTTTCAAATCAATATATTTCATTTTTTATGATTAACCATATAAATAAATGATATAAACTACACACACAAATGTCAAATACTGTTTTTTTTTTTTAAATGTAACTTTTTTCTTTTGCAATATATCTTAATTACAATAATACTTTCTGATTGATGAAGATGTTGATATTAATTGTGGAACTCATTAATTTGTCAATCTTATAATACACGATGCATGTTTGGAAGTCATTAAGAAAAGTTGTCAATTTTAGTGGCAATATAAATCCCACTATGTTACAAGATGCCTGTATCTCTAGGTTTCCACTAACCATTTTTAACTTTTTTTTGTTAAGATATTTTATATAAGTTTTAAAATCCAATACCCATTAACAACATGACACATGCTTTTCTTTTCAAAACTTTTTTTACAATAATACTTTTATTTCCAAAACATATCACACCTATTTTTTGTAAAAGCAAATCTGATTAGATAAACACTTTATTTAACGTCGTCAACTAATAATTTAATATACATTATGCTTCTTATAATATAAATCGACTCTACTCAAATAGCACGTTGTTAATACTAATAAACAAACTAGAAATTTTGTGATTGTAATAAGACAAAATTTTTGAAAAAGAAAAATTAAGTTATATTTTATTAAGATTATAAAAATAAAATCATTATATAGTAACTTTTAACTAACCCAATCGATTTTTAATTAAAACCAAATTGGTTAACGGTGTTGAAACATTTTTGTTCCCCTGTTCGATATACTAACAGGGTTAACCTAAAAACTAAATTAATAACTTTTAGAATATCTAACTTTATGTAATTTGTAAGAATATACACTATGTCATATGTTCTTTTGGTTGTTGATATCGATTTATGATGGTAAATATAAAGATAAGAGAGACAAGATATATACCCAAAGGTAAAGTGGAGAGTAGCATTGGAAGAGTGAGCATGACTTTCCTTCCATAATGGTCCGAGAGGTTTCCAATCAATGGCATCATGACTAGGCTTCCCATCCCTGTAATCTGTCATTTTTCGTACATACATACATTAACACCATCACCACTTTTGCTATCTTTTCCTGTTCCTACTAAAACTTTGATTTTTTTGAATACAAAGTAATTAGCATGTCCTTTTAAAATAAGTTATGCCTTGTTTATTAAAAAAAAAAAAAAAAAAAAAAAAACTAACATGTTTTTGTTAGTATTGAATATTGAATATTAAACTTACAACCACTAGATATCAAATACTTGCTTACGTACTAATATAGGAGCAATCAAATGATCAATGATAGATTGATAGTTACTAGCAACAAAGTGAGGATGTAAAAAATAATATAATAAATATCTAATTATTTAGTGACTTTTTTCAGAAAAGTTATAATGGTGCATTGTAACTAAGAAACATGATAGAAAAATGATATTGTTGTCATAAAGCAAAATAAATTGAATTGGTATTTGTGTTATCAATTTATCTTTAAGTTTATCATTTATGTAAGTTCACATGAAAATTAATTTCAGGCACTGTTATAAATTTATAATAAAAAATCAATTAATAACTAGATCTCTTATTTGGTTATAACTCATAAAATAATTCTTAAAATATTAATTTTGATTTTACATTTGGTCAATATAAAACTATGCTAAAAATTGATTATTTGTGAAATTTTCCTGTCATTAATTTTTGGCACCAATCTTTACATATTTACGTCCAAAAAGAATAATCATTTGCACACATTTAAAACATAATATTATATAAATGTTCTTTATGGGAAAGTATTTGAAGAAAAATAAAACTTTTTATTACAAGATTCTAATGATTTTTATTAAACTCATATTGATCTAGTCTTGTAAATAAATGAGTATAGGTTTGACTCCTTATCCATAATATATGAATGTATTTGACCATTTTTAAATAAAAAATAAGATATCTAAAAAATAAAATAAAAAAACAAACAAACGGTGTCAAAATACAAAATACAAAATACAAAAATCAAATGGAAATCGAACAAATTTACTTTAATTTATAGTATAAATACAAAACAAAACTCTTCTTGAAGTAACCGGTGCATTTTGGACGAGAAAAGCAAAGACACACACACACATAAAAAAATATCAAAAGTATTGTTTTTTATTTTTTATTTATTTGTTTGTTTGTTTTTAGTTCTTTAAGCTTTAATTAATGAATACATTTATAACACAAAACCGCCTTTACATTATCCATGAAAATAATGAAAAAAAGGAAGAAAAAATTAACATATAATTTATGAACTACACAAAAAGATTAAACCTGTAAATTACCGCTAGTTGAACACCGGAGAGGTAAATCGCCAATGAGCACTCATCTTCTCCGGGACAAAGTGCAGCCATGCTGACGTCAGTTATGGCCGGAACCACCATGTAATTCGCAAAATTGAATACAAACACCGTCATGAAAAGGTGGCCCAGCCCTGAGGACATGACTGTCTTCTCCGCCATGGTGGTGCTAGTGGTGGTGAAGTCTTGGAGATGGTGGTGGTGGTGGTGTAAATGGAGAAAGAAAGGAAGCAATGCTTAATGTGGAAGCCTACACCACCCTCTTTATATACCATCCAAAAGAAGATGTCACTATTTAATGTATGAAATTAAGCAAATGAGTCTCACAAGCCAAGTTACAATTACTCACTGTGTCAAGATACCCACTCAAGCTTTTCCTATTTTTGTGGTAAAATTACTATACTACCCCTCATGATTTAGAAAACCTACAAAAAGAGACCAATATGATCAAGATACCTTTTGAATCTTACGTTTGATGATTCTAGGTCTCGTGTTACATATCTGTCAACTTGAAATAAACTAGTAGAAAGGAATTGTATTATTAAAGCTTCTTTTGATGACAAAATGTATCAAATAAAACGTTTAAACGTGAAAAAAATAAATAATATACATAAATGTATGAGTAGTAAAGTATTAAAAGTCTTTTATTAGTCGTTTTGAAAGATATAATAAACACATCCCGTGTCAAAGGCTTTGGGTGTGACCTATTATTGACATTTTTAGGTCGATTGATACAAATGAATATTTGATTTGTCCCATTTAAGATAGTCAAATATTTTAGATAATTAAGGGTACGTTATTTGTAAAGTGTTTTTTAGTTACTTTTAACTCCAAATCAATATCATTCTAGCACTTAATATGTCAAAATTGTGATTAATTTTATTTATTATTCAGTGTTATAAAAATTGATCTAAGTGACCGATTAATCGGCGTCTAAACGTTCGGTGGTCTCCAACCGTTTACGATTAGTGCTAGTTAATCATCGAAGTCAGCCTTGGTCCTAATTGGTCAAATTTTGACAACCAAATTAAAAAGTAAAAAATAATAAAATATCAAAAAAAAAAAGTCAAAACATAAGTTAAATAATCAATAAAAATGTGAAAAAATACGAAATTAAAGACAAAAAAGTATACAAAAAAGCTAGTTATCGCTTCTCTATCCATCTTTTTAAAATCGACAACAGCTTCTTGTTTCTTTTCACGTCAACATTGACGTCGATTATACACTTAATGTATGACGATTTGTGACTTAAATATCTGAACACTAGATTATGACTTTTATTATGCTCGACCGACTAGCTATCTCCAAATGTTTTTACATCCTTGATTATACATAAAAAGTTTTCTCTAACATATAAAGCAAATTAGATTATCAATTTTGTATATTTAATTGATGTGTTTGTGGAGCAAAAATAATATAGAGGAAGTATTACCCAATAGAGAAAAAGGGAAGAAAAGGAATAAAGGTTGCATGGTTAATTTATGCTTTACTTGACAGCAAGGGAAGGTTACATGACTATATGTCCACAATTGCAGACCATTTCCCAAATGGAACTATTAATTTTTTATTATTTTTTATACTTTTGCTGCAATATATACATTTTATTTAAAAAGATAAAGCGGGTACTTAGATAAACACATTTATCTCAACATATGACTTAATCATTGGGGACAAAATATTATTACTAACTTAGTTGTTATGTTAAAATGAATGTGATATTTAATTTGAGAAAAAGTATAGTAAATTTAAGCGAATTTAGGGTACATGGAAGTCAAAGTGATGTTGAATAAGTGAAAAGCAATAGACCGGGGACGTAGCTTACAAGGTAATGCAAGAACTTTAGGGGCGCTAATTTTTAACCGTTTTATTTGCATATAGTTTTTACGATGGCTCATAAGCTAAATCTGACATATAAATATATTAGAAATTTAGAATGATATTTTATTCAGATTTTATAATTTTTTCAGGGAAAACTGCAATAAAGTCCCTACATATTGGATTCATAATCGATTTAGTCTCTATATATTTTTTTTATTCAATTAAGTCTCAAATACCGATAATCGTATTCAATTTAACATTTTGACCCGGTCAACAGGTCATCCAACTTTCAAAAATTACATTTTTGGCCCAGATTTCAAATTTTATTACAAATTTGGTCCAAAATTTATACTTTTGGCCCAGATTTTAAATTTTGTTACAAATTTGGTCCAAACTTTACCCTTTTTGCCAAAATTTTAGAATTTTATTATGAACTCATCCTAACTTTAGTTTTTTTTACAACTTTTTTTCTCAAATAACTGTTTCTAATATGTTTTTTTTTTATAAAATCATATTTATACAAAAAAAAACGTATTCTCACATAAAAATCTTATATTTTCTATATAAAAAGTTTTTTTAAAAAGTTTTTTGTATATGAAATATCTAATTATAAAAATAGGTAATTTATTAAGTATATAAATATATACCAATCCGTTTTTATAAAAAAAATGTATACAAAAACGTATTTTACAAAAAAAAAATGTATACCGACACCTATTTTATCTATATATTTTTTTTAAAATCGTGTTTGTTTACATTTTTTTTTATAAAAACGTGTTTGAATAATTTTTTATATAATACGTGTCTGTATACGTTTTATAAAATGTATACAAACACGCTTTTATAAAATATATACAAACACGTATTATATAAAAAAATATTCAAACACGTTTTTATAAAATGTATACAAACACGATTTTATAAAATGTATACAAACACGTATTATATAAAAAATTATTCAAACACGTTTTTATAAAAAAAAAATATAAATAAACATGATTTTATAAAAAAATAGATACACACCTATGTGTGCATATATATATAGATATATATATATATATATATATATATCTATATATATATATATATATATATATAAAGGTGATAAGTGTTTGTATACATTTTTTTTGTAAAATACGTTTTTATATACATTGTTTTATAAAAACGGATTTGTATATATTTATATACTTAATAAATACATATTTTTATAACTTGATATTTCATATACAAAAAACTTTAAAAAAAAGTTTTTATATAGAAAATATAATATTTTTATGTGAAAATATGTTTTTTTTGTATAAATATGATTTTATAAGGAAAAAACATATTAGAAACATATTTTTGCGAGAAAAAAAGTTGTAAAAAAACTAAGTTAGGATGAATTCATAATAAAATTCTAAAATTTGGGCAAAAAGGGTAAAGTTTGGACCAAATTTGTAACAAAATTTAAAATTTGGGCCAAAAGTGTAAATTTTGAAATCTGGGCCAAAAATGTAATTTTTGAAAGGTGATGACCTGTTGACCGGGTCAAAGGATTAAATTGAATACGATTACCAGTATTTGGGACTTAATTGAATAAAAAAAAAATATATAGGGACTAAATCGATTATGAGGCCAATATGTAGGGACTTTATTACAGTTTTCCCTTTTTTTAGAGTAAATTACGTTTTTGGAACTTGTGAGGTTGATCAAATTTGAAGGTTTGGTCCATAAGACCGGTCGGAATGGGTGTGTGAAGAGTGAATGGAAACGGGAACCGCATCCTGAAACATCATATATTGGGTGCAGTTTAGGCCATGCGGTTTAGGGGTGAGTGGTATCATCCATGCGTTTTCTCTCATCTCCTGACTGGACAACAACTTAAAATCTTTTTTTTTCTAGTTTATATATATATATATATATATATATATATATATATATATATATATATATATATATATATATATACACACACACACACTAAAAAAAATTTATAAAAATATATTAAAATTCATGGTTTTTAATTCCTTCAAAAATGAGTATAATATTTATATAAAATAATTACTTTTAGAAAAAAAAAATAGTGAAAGATGACAATTTCCTGACTTTTGGTGAGTACAATGTGAGTGAGTGGAAAGCTGACATGACATAGAAAAATGAGCGGTGAAAGGCGACTACACCCTCCTGTCTAAGTTAAAATATTGATAGGTTATATTCATATGGTTTGGAGAAATTACACCATTGTCCCTCCATCCATACCGACAAAATTACATAAATGGTTTCTATGGTTTACCAAACGGTTATAACTTCGATCCCTGCTAATTTTTTTTATAAGAATGGTCCCCGTGATTTCTAAACTTGCACAAATGGTCTCCCTCCTAAAGTAATAGTGTTATGGAGTTTGGCCATATAGGTACCTGAAGTAGAGCTAGAAGCTTTGACATTACCATCCTTGAGATCTTTCAAGTACTTAGAGCAACTTCGTTTCCAATGCCCATTAACGCCACAATAGAAGCAATTTGCCTCTTTCGGATCATTTCCTGGTGGAATAGAGGATTCATCTTTTCCTTTACCCTTTGATGATAAGGTGCAGTCGGAGCCTTTCCTTTCCATTTGGATTGGAATATTTCCATTTCTTTCCACTACCATTTTGAATGGCAAGGACTGGAACTTGAGAGTTGACTGGAGCTTTCTTTAGACCAACTTCTGCAGTTTGGAGTAGGTTGTAGAGTTCCATCAATGTCTTATCCATATTATTCAAATGATAAATCATTATAAAGTTATCATATAAACTAGGGAGAGATCCAAGCACACGATCCTCATCAAGGTTCTTATCAAAGACAACATCAAGATTCTCAAGTTGGTATATGTAGCTCTTCATTTGTTGAACATAAGCACATACCGAACCTCCCTCCTTTAGCTTGCATGACGTTAGGGATCTCACAACCACAAATCGTTCTTTCCTTGCTCTTTTTTGAAACATTTCAGCCAACTGCAAGTTCATCTCATATGATCAAGTTCTCGAAAGTCTTTTGGAGATACAAGAACATTAAAGCAATCATGACGCAAGAAATCTTATTTGAGTCTTTAAAGTGTTTGTGGTGAGCAACCTTTTCTTCACTAGTAGAGAAATCATTGATCTCAGGAATTGGATCAGCGAGAACATACTCACAATCATCGTACCTTAGGGTTATCCTAAGGTTACACATACAATCGAGGTAGTTTACTCCACCAGTGAGCTTTTCCCGTTGGAGAACAGAGAGTAGGGAGAAGTTTGATTTTATAGGTGCAGGAGGATGTAACACCCAGAATCTAGAAGATCAATTGTGGAATAAATCCCCTTTTCTAAGGACCAACTCGTCGAGTTGATGGAGGGAAAATCGACGTGTTGAAGGCTTTTAGGTCACGCGTTTTCATGGACCAACTCGGCGAGTTGGTGAAGAAAACTCGACGAAGCTGATTGAGAAACC